AAGAACATCTCCACAAATGAAGTCATTCTCACTGGGAAGAGAATCAGAAACATCTATGAAGTGATATGGAACGATGTCAAGGAAGCATGTCTAATCAGCAAAGGTGACACTAACCTTCTATGGCTTTGGCATAAGAGGTTGAGTCATCTCAACTTCAAAACTCTCAACAAGCTATCCAAAGAAGGGTTAGTAGAAGGCCTTCCCAAAGCTGTATTCAGGAAGGAAAGCATTTGTGATGCGTGCCAGAAAGGAAAGCAAATCAAATCTACTTTCAAGGCAAAACCGGCACCCTCAACTACAAGGATATTAAGTCTTATCCACATGGACCTATTTGGCCCTGTTACACCAATAAGTCTAAGTGGAAAGAAATATGTCCTGGTGGTAGTTGATGATTACTCAAGATACACGTGGACAATCTTCCTCAAAAGCAAGAAGGAGACTCAAGGGAAACTCACCAACTGCATGAAGCTGATTCAAAACCAAGCAAGTCAGACCATTTAGAAGATCAGATCTGACAAAGGCACAGAATTCCTAAATGAAATCATCATTCATTATTGTGAAGAAAACGGAATTCTTCATCAGACATCCGCAGCAAGGACGCCTCAACAGAATGGTGTAGCGAAAAGAAGGAACAGAACCCTAAAGGAAGCAGTGAGAACAATGCTAGCAGAAGCTTCCTTACCAAAGGTTCTGGGCTGAAGCTGTTAACACGGCTTGCTATACTCAAAATAGGAGTATGATTTATAAAAGGCACAACAAAACTCCCTATGAACTATGGAACGGGAGAAAGCCTAATATATCATATTTCCATATTTTTGGGAGCAAGTGCTTTGTGTTAAATAACGGGAAGAATCACATGAACACTTTTGATGAGAAATCAGATGAAGCCATCTTCCTTGGATACCCTATGGTGAGCAAGGCATTCAGAGTTTTCAACAAAAGAACCATGATGGAATGAAGCCCACGGAATTCATTCCATTCAGAAGTCTGCCTTTGAAGATTTCACAGAGAAATCCAGATTCAGACGGTGCTGAGCCCTCCGGAAATTTTGGCCAGCCTTCCAATATTCCGGATATCTCAAACGGCGACAATTCCGGAAATGGCAACTCAGTGCCAATCCATCCGGAAACACCAACAACTTCTGTTCTTCAACCAGAAGCTGAACTAGATCAACCAGTCAATCCCAATCAACACAATCTTCGTTGGTTAAGGGATC